TAAGTCATAAGTCTCACAACTTACGTGGAACCACATCAAATACTTGTGGTTATACGTAACTGCGTTATATAATTCGAAACAAATGATCTAAAGATGTTTTTGATGAAACTGTTTTCTTTATTCTAGTATAGCTAACATATAAATTATTTTATGTTTCTGAAGTAATTTCTTAAGGTAAGTGAAATCCATAGAGTTTTCGCCAGATTCGCATTAATAGTTCAGATTACAGGCCTTTAAACTGATTTTCTTTATGTTTTTTGTTTTCAGTTTGAAGCCACGCACGCCTATTACAGGCCGAAGGCTCATCGCACAAAATGGGAAACTCATTATATTCTTGCTATATTCGCTATATCCTTATCATTTAATTATATTGTCTACAGAGACTTTGTTTTCTCAAAAAGTTCCATGAAGCATTATTCTTTCTAGAGAATTCACATATGATCTATAGTAATTAGTCGCGACAGTCGATAGTCAGTTTTTCTGACAGTGTTTTGTTTTTGATACTAAATATTAATACTTCTTTTTTGTCGAAAGAAAGCGCTGGATCTTTGTTAAATAAAAAGCGTATAGTTTCTAGATTATCGATAATTCCCCCAACCCAGAATTTATGTTTCAGAACTGTTTCTCTTTTGAGACATCATCTTTTTTGAGACATCACCTTTCATCCGGAAGACGTCTCACATTTTTTATAGCAAGAAGAGAGATTTCTTATGGTATGCATAGAGTTCTTTCTACAACTTTATGACACTTATTTCGATAATAAAATTTCAATGGAATAATAGAGAAACTAACTGATCCTCCATTGCAAATCACTCCTCTTGGCACAGGAGCTAGTTTAGCTATAGGTAGTAAGAGACCGTTTTCAGGAGCCGAAAATCCTGAATGCAGTTTATATTTTACAACAAATATTGAGAAACGTCTAAAAGGATTTTTTGTTCTTCTTACATTTGTTTGACTCTGGGATAAAGTAGTCTAAATTATTCGAGAGTATTTAAAGATGTAATTTTTTATATGAATTTAAGTTTCAGCTAATGTTGCTCTTATGACTACAAGCACTTAAAAATACTACAATATAATGTGTACTGTTACTTTTATGTAACGAAATTTGTTGATAGAACTCATTCCGTAATCCTTTGACGCCTTCTCTGACAGCTTCAAGTGGTGGCGCAGAACATTTGAAATTTCGTTGATTGATTGATTTGAGTGCCGCTGAATGATGGATTTTCATCAGCTACTTGTAACGTTTTATTTATGAAGTGTTTTACAGCCTTTCGACACATGCTTTCGGGAGCATAAATATGTAAGTGTATCCATTTTTCTGTCTCAATTAAGATTTAAAACTATGCATTGATAAAAAAAAATAGTCGGATTAGCTGAGGATTCGTAAAGTCTGCTTTGATTTTGTTAGATATTCACTTCAGATTTTTGATAAAAAAATGGTTGGGTTCAAAGCTCACATATCTGAGGTTGTGGGTTTAAACTTTTCGCAGCTGCTTATAGAAACAAATGTTTCATAAAAGGTCTATCAAATCATCTAACGATATAAAGGGTGTTTTTTTAGGCATGAGGTTTTAAAGAAAAAACAAAACGCATACAATTTAATGTTATTACCAAGAATTTAGCTTTGCTACAATATAAAAATAAGTATTTGCCATTAGCTTGAATATATTCCCGCCGAGACGCTCAATTTTCGACCACTTAATAATGGTAATAACGCGCCGAATATTATATTCCAAGGAGTCAATCGTGTCGGGCTTATCTGTGTGGACAAACAACTGTACATAACCCCACAAAAAGCAGTGCAGCGGTGTTAAATCGCACAATATCGGAGGCCCACGACGCGAGAGCACTCACCAAAAATTTCGTTCAATAAATTGATTATTTCATTAGCTGTATAGAATGTAGCGCCGTCTTGTTGGAACCAAAGTCGTCCACAGCAAAATCCTCAAATTTGGGCACGAAAAAGAAATTTTTGAAGAAATTTGGACTAATGATTCCTTCTGTCCATAGAGCACATCAAACAGTGACTTTTTGAGGATGTAACCGCGTCTTAACAGTGGCTTGTAGATCCTTCCGCAAAATCTTCCATCAAGTGAATGGACTCATTCGATACTCTACAACACAACAGCAATAGCGTCGTCGGTGCGCACTGTACGACCTCTCTGTGGACAAGCATAACTCATTGGGTTTTCAGTTTGACAAACAGATTGGGCAAAATCGAAAATTTTATTAATTGATGCAAAGTTTTTGTCACATTTCCTTAAAAACAAAAAAAATTGTAAACTTTGGCTGCACCGAAATTATAAACCCTTCACAGGAGCATTTCGTATAGCATAAAGTTGCAAAAAGCAAAATATTTAACCTGATTCTGATAGATCAGGTTATATGACAGTAATATGTTATAGTAGCCCGATCTCCAAATTTCGTGACGATATCTTGTCAAATAAAGAAGTTTTCCATACAAGAACTTGATTTTGATCGTTTGGTTTGTATGACAGCTATATACTATGGCCGTCCGATATCGACGGTTCCAACAAATAATTAGGACTTTGGGGAGTACAGGACGTGCATAAAATTTCCGATCGATATCTCAAAAACTGAGGTACTATTTGGCGTATATATAGACAGAGGAACAGGCGAACAGAGGCACAATCTCCGATGTTGTCTTCTGGGTTTTTCAAAATTCGTGAAAAACTAAATTTATCCTGTTCAGAGTATTATAATTAATATGTTCACTATTCTTCGTTTATAACCTATTTTCCCACTATTTTTTACAATTGTTTTGCTACTTCCATCGTTCGCTACCTTAAGGGGGGGTTAAGGTTTCAAGGTAAAAAAAAAACTTTTTTTGCGAATTTTTTCTTAAATATGGATTGAGTAATTTTATTCGGACCTTTGTACATTATTGAGCATACTTTCGATAATATAGGGTAATTTTTTCATGCAGGAATATTGAAGCATAAGCCGGTAACGGCGCTTCCCCCAGAACGGCTTGAGAAAAAATAATTTGCGGTGTTCGCCATAACTCGGCTGGAAAATATCCGTAAAAAAAACCAAGAAAAATTAGTTAAACTATGATCAAATCTTGCCCCCAACGTTCTCTGATAATTTTTTTTTTTCATTTAAAAATTTTATTTAAAGTGTAAACTGTTATTTTCCACTAAAAATTTTGCCATTTTGGGGGTGGAAAACACCCTTAATGTAAAAAACATTGAGGGCGGTATTTTATATGTCGAAAATGTGTATAAAGTTTGAAATGAATCGGTCAAGTAGTTTCGAAATGACAGTGAACACGGACTTTGAAAAAGTAGTTTTGAGAAAAACGCATCTAAAGTTTATGTACTATTGGTTGGACCATTAAAGGCCAGGAGATTAATAAGAAAATAAATTTAGGAATATTTCCTCAATCGACCTAAAATTTTAAGGACATATTTTTGAATGTTAAACAATAAGATAGAAGAAAAAAAATCGATTTTTCGAAAGTAAAAACCCTAACCCCCCTTAAGCGAACTAAGACGCATTTAACAAACCTAATGTTATTGGCAGGTATCTACAATAACGCTTTCGATACTCTTCAACTGCAAGAAAGGTGAAACTTTAGAAACTATTTCGAATTTCTGTCTAATAAATAGTTTATTTTCGAACCAAACAAGTAATCGAATCCGCAATCAAGTCTCTGCTATAAACCTAATGCTGATTACTTTTATATTTTAGCCTTGTGATAATTCCCATCTCCCCGTCTGACAGCACGTCATACCCTTCTAGCGAAATATTTTTCCTGCTACAAATCTTAAGAGTAAATACGCAATTACATCTCACGGAAATACTATTCTTCATGGATAACTGACTACACAAATCAAAGGATTGAGTGCAACGTATGGATTTGCTTTGACATATCCTAGCGAATAGGCACACATGCTAAAAAAGGAAAGTAAAAAAAAAAAAACAAACAATAAGCAATAAGCAATCAAAGGTTTTCACTTTCTACCAACGAGAGTAATTTCTCTCAGCGCCAATACTTTCACAAATATACATATTTATGTCTGTATATCTGTATATAGATTGTAAATTTAAGTATGTGCCATACATACCTCCAAAATAAACGAAAGGAAATGTAAAAGTGGCAAAGACTGAAATTATAAAAGGATTGTATTGCGGAAATGCTTTCATTTTTTTCACAAATGGCCAATGTGCAAAAGGATTTTTAATTTAATCAACTGTGTACATATCCAGATATACACATAAGTACATATGTACACATGTATGTATGTGATAAAATATACATACACACATACGCGTTTATTTACATTGTAAAAAATAAATATCTTCCTACTTCCGTTCGTTTTAACAAGATTAATGAAAGGCTTGCGAAATTGAAAATTCGATTTTAATCGCTTAACGAATTGCCGATAATCTACCGATAATACACAGCAACGCGATTCGCAACGCCGATTTACACATTCGTTTTGCTGGTGTAAACAAGCGCATACATACAGACACATTTGACACCCCCAAAGTGATGGTAACCGAGGCGTATCAGAGTGAGCATTCATTTCATTTTCATCCTTCGCTGCTGATAATTCTAATGCCATTAGCGTTGGTTTCCAAGCGACTTCGCAAAATAATAGATTTTCCAACTACCTGTTCAAGAGACTTGAAAATTTTCTCACCTGAGTCTGCGCGGGATGTGAGCATGAAATGCGAGTCGAACTCGATCTGAATGTCTCTTTGTAATTTAATACCGTTGATCATTAAAACGATATGTTGCCGGAAATCGCCCTCGCCCACCTTCCAGCTCATATATGCGCTTCGGTTCACAACCATTCGTTTCATTTTCATTTCACATGCTCACATACTTACATACAAACATGCTTATTGCAATCATATTAACTTTTCTTCATGCTAATATTTGCAGAATAAATATTTATGAGAAATACAAATGAAAAGAAATATGCATACATATATACAAAAACAACAATTGAGTATAGACCACTTAGAAATGCAAACCATATTTATATACAATTCAAAGACAACTAAGGTCGATATGATTATTTATAAAGTTGGCAATAAATTAAAACCTTTCTATTTGCGCTCTTTACACCTCACGTCTAGTCAGCACCACCTTGAAGCCATTAGCTAATTTCAAAATAATATCACCTTGCAATTGAAATTGTGTCTCATCCACATTCGAGTGTATTTCAAATTTACGCAACAGCGTCGATAGTAAAACTTTAAGCATTAGCATGGCATATTTACGTCCAACACAACTGCGTGGACCCGCACTGAAGGGTACATAACTGTAGTAGTGGCGTTTCGACATTTTTTCGGGCAAAAAGTTATCCGGATCGAACTTATCCGGATTCTCATAACAATCAGGTCGCCGATGTACAGCATAGTTAGCCAGCACAACGGTTGTACCCTTAGGTATAGTGTATGGTCCGGAGGCCAGTCGTACGTCTTCATTCACTTTACGCCCTATTACCGGTACTGGTGGGTAGAGACGTAGCGTCTCTTTAATCACACGCTCCAAATACTGCATTTCTAGTGTGTCGGCAAAGGTGCAATCGCGCTCTATGTCATCGGCGAATATTTGTTTTTGTTCCTCGTAAACTCGTGCTTGCACATCTTTATGTATGCCGAGCAGAGAGAGCACGAAACTGGAACCGGCTGAGGTGGTATCGTGACCCTGTTAAATGCAAATAAAAAAAAATTATTTGTACTTTAATAATAAGCCGATTTGACGCAAACTTTTTTTTTTATAAATTAAAAACAAGAAATGCTTGTAATTATAGGGTGTGGATAAGAAGAGGACTCTTAGAGTAATCTTTCGGGTAATATTTGGAAAATATATAATATATAAATTAGATAATATATACATTTACCGACAAATATTTCGCTTTCTTCAAGACAAAAACTTGTATAATCTCATTTTTTTCGAACTGGCATTCCTCAAGAGAGTATATGAGGCCATTTGATTACATCTAATATCAGGAGGAATTAAATAATCAGCATGATTGAGGTTCCGACTTGGTCATACTGACGTCACAAATATGTGGTTATTTAACAGAGGCTCAGCGCAGGCCATGTAGTACAGTTCCTCACCATTTCTTCTAGCCTTGGCTTGGTCCCCTTATGGTATATTATTGAGGTTAGAAAGCTATGAAAAAAAGCGATTTTGGTTTTTTTGGCGATATCTCTACTTTAAAGAGAGTCTTTTGCTACATCAAATCGGAACATTTTGGTAACCTTTGAGGAATTAAAGACTTTGGTAAATAAATTTCCGGCACTACTTACGCCACAGAATCTCTAAGATGAAACTTTTGGAGCAAACTTATAATTGATTTGGATAAACATCTGCACCTTAAACTGTTTTTTCACCATCAAAAAATACCTAAAGGTTTAGGCTTAGTTCCCCGTTTCTGCTGAGTCACTGTACAATTTAATTATAGAAAGCTGAGTACTGCCTTTTTCAAAAGGTTCTCAAAATATGGAATGTTGAATGAAACGACTTGGCAGATTTTCACACATCATTTTCCACATATTCATTATATTCGAGGTAGGAGCTTATTGGGTTGGCTTAAATACCATCCCTGTAGGGATGGTTATCTTCGGGTCTCTCATATTTCCAAACGTTACTAAGAGATCCTCATAAGTTTTCGAGATAAGAATTTTCAATCAGAAGTGTGCTTTTTCGATCCAACTTTCCATTTTTAACTACGCTTATTAAAGATCATTAATTTTGATGACATACAAATATCTAGTAGTGATGAGATCAACAGATGGAGAACTCGTATCCACTTTTACTAAATTTCTAATAGTCCTATTAAACTTAATTCCAATACAATTATAGATAATTTCATTAAAAAAGAAACTGGATTGATAGGCAGACTTCGTAAAATTCCGAACCAGATTAAATTTGATCAGACCGTATATTCCACGTATATACCTTCTTGCTAATTTAATGGTGTTTAAACAAAAAAACAAATCATACCTCAAACATAATCGTGTTTACTTCATCCATTACATCCTTCTCCGTCCACGCAATATCCGGATTCTTCGTCATCTCCACCATCGCATCTAAGAAAGCCAAACGACGCTTAGCACCTGTACAAACAAAAAAACAAAAATTAAACAAATATAATAAATTAGTTACACTTTTCTTCGACAATTGTATTAATGATATTGATACATTAGCTAACATTTTCATTCAAGTACGAAAATGTACGATGCTTAATTGCAATCAATCTTACCCACATCACTCTCTTCATCGATTTCATCCAAATCGTCACGCAGTCCTTCCTTCTTCCTAATGCTCGCCTGCGCATTTACTCCATCCTGTTGATCCAACACGCCATCTGTTTCCATATTGAAATTTTCACGCCGCTCCGTGATGACACGCCTCGTTAACGCCAAGATAATGTTCATCATTTTATCGCATCGCTGACGCAGTTGTGTCCATTGATAAACGAAATCGAAGCGATAATGCGCCTTGACTTGGCGCTTCTGTATGATATCGCACATTTCCAGCACTGCTTCTGCATATCTAGCACATTCCCTGCCAGGGGGTAACTGTCTCATGCCCATCGCAGTGCTAAGCAGTATCTCCACCGTAGTCTGACTCATATGTTCGTGCACATCGAACTCACGTCCCAAATATTTTGTTTCTAATCTGTTGGCGATTTTTTTCGAGTGTTGCACAAAAGTCGGCACGAAACTCTTCAATATGCTTTGATGGAAAGTAGGTACGATCATTTTGCGATGTAGACGCCAATGGTCGCCCTTGCTAATGAGTAGACCATCACCGAACCATGGTTGAAAGAATCTGTACTCATTGGACTTTTCCAAATGTACGGAGCTGTTGAGTATGATTTCAAAGTCCGCGGGATTTGTCAGGAAGACTACCATTAAATTGAAAAAACAACCTCGAACTGTCTCACCATAGTATTTCAAGTATATTAGTGCTTTCACTACCATTTCTGAAGATGAAAGAAACAAAAAATTCCTATATTTTTTGCTACACACTAAAACTTATCACTCACCGGTAGGTGTAAGGCCCAACACCAAATGCGCATTGCCAACCAACGGCAGTACCGGCGGTCCAGGTATACTTTTCAGCTTCTTATAAGCATCGGTATTGCGAAACCAAATATCATATAGCACTAACGCCAACAATGCGCCAATCAAACTAATATAAAAAGGACTCGACAGGATGTGCGCCTTTGTTCCAGTAATATGTTGTGTTGTCGTTGCGTTTATGTAGTCCATAGTGCTCTTAGCTACTGCACTTCTGCCTCTACTGCGAAGAACTGTTTGCCTAGTCTAAATGTTTCTACACTTTTAATGCATCTAGAAGTTTTCCACCGGTTGAGAAAGTGTGACTACGTAAATGCATATTGATTTATTTTAGTGAACTCTCTTCGCCTATAAAAATAGCCTATTTGAAGGTAAACATTTCGCAAACATAAATATATAAATTATAGTTCCACAGTGTCTATACCCGCACTCCGAATGACGTATTTGTTTCATTGTACAAATTTGCAATGCATAATAACTGCATATGTCATGAGGTTTAGTGGCTTTTGTGATGGCTCGCGACCGGTCGTTGTGGTGTAGCTGTGGTTAAAGTTGCGCACTGCCAGTACTCAAGAACTTGATTAGAAACCTTGTTTTGTTTTATTCCCTAAACATTGTATTTTAAATTTGGTACAAAGTTTGTAACACCCTATATTATATATATATACATATATGTTTATATATAAATGATCAGCGTGACGAGCTGAGTCGATTTAGACATGTTCGTCTGTACAACTGTCTGTCCGTTAGTCCGTCTGCCTGTAGATACGCGAAATAGCCCTTCAATATTTGAGATACTGAAACTTTGTACATGTTCTTTTCTTCTCTAGAAGCTGCTCGGAAGCCCCGCTATCGGATTGCTATAAGTGATAGCTGACATACAAACTCACACACATACGATCACAATTAAGTTCTTGCTTGACAATTTGTTAATTTGATGATAACTTTACGAAATTTGCTGCCGATTATTTTCCAAGGCAGCGCTACAATCTCCGAGCACATCGTTTAGATCGGAACAACGTAGCAAACATATATCTGCATTCTAACTGATCGATCATAATTAAAATGAAGGTATTCATAGAAAATTCGATTTCCTTAACCTTAATTCGACTTGAAGATTGTTTATGTCAAATAACGAGGCAAGAAAGAACCATCAAAACGGTTGCCGTTGGATGTAAACTGTAGGCCGGTTACGTTTTAAGATTTAGTTATACATATCGTGGCTCTAAGAAATGCACCTGTGAGAGAGAGATTCAGTGCAGCCGAAGTTAACGTTTTTCTTATATTAATCTAAGCGTGCTCCAAGGTATCAAGAGTCGATCACACTGATACAATTATATTATTGTGAGAAAATTTTCAGCAATTTTTGCAATTGAAACTGATTCTTTTTCATTGAACTATAAAACTCAAAAGAAAAAAACAAATTTGCTTAAAAATTTGTCAAACTTCAACCGTTAATATCTTCTAAATTTATCAATTTCCTACAAAATTCTTGAAACGAAATATGTTTTCAAGTAGTTGGATACGAGATATGAATTTTTCCATCCGATAATAAGAAAAAAAATAGAAAACCGTTAAGCGGAGTACTTTTCCGTTACAATTAAGAGCTCATACTTGGAGAGCGTTTCTCAGAAGTGGCTACCAACCAATTTTTTTGGAGTTTCAAGCGAAAAAAAACATTTTTGACAAACCCTAATATTGAGGTTGGTTGAAAAGTTACTAGCTCTCACCAAGAAATAGCACTACTAGCTACGAGTTGGTACATCTGTCGTGCGAACACACGCAAAATTACAAGTCATTCTGTCAATTAACTCTTTGTTTACAAGCCATTTTTCGATTAGATTCTTTGTTTTGAAAGGTTTAAAAGAAAAGAAAATTTATGAATAATTGTTGGATAGTGTATAAGGAGTCCTCAGCTTTAAAACGCACCGTTGAATTTTGGTCTGGTGAATTCAAACGTGGTCGCACTAGGCTTGAAGACGACCAAAAACCGCAATCACACCAAAAATCAATGAGCAATTTCAAAATATTGTTAGTGAAGATCCCAATTTGACTAAGCGTGAAATTGCTAATGCCATAGGCATCTCAAACAAACGAGTACTTCATATTTTACTAGGAGATTTACATATGAAAAAGCTGTTTGGAAAATTAGTGTCGCACCTGTTAACAATTCAACAAAAACTGGATCGAAAACAAATTTCTCAGCATAATTTTTTAAGCACAATAAACTCGATTTCTTGAATCGTTTTATAATTATGAGTGAGACTTGGATCTACCATTATGATTCTAAATTGAAACAAGAACGTTCACGGTGGAACCAGTGGACTGAAGCTGGTTGTTCAGCTCCAAAACGAGTAAAGTCACAACAATCAGCAAAGAAGATTATGGCATCAGTTTTTTCGGATGCAAAAGGAATTTGTTTATTGATTGTCTGCAGAAAGGTAAAACAATCAACTCTGAATATTATTGCAGCCTTTTGGATCAGCTGGATGAAAAAATTCGTGAAAAAAGACGTGGTTTACAGCACAAAAAAATCATTTTTCATCCAGACAATGCATCTGCTCACAAAGGTGTTTTAACAATAACAAAATTCAACGAACTAAAGCACGAATTGCTTGAGCATCCAACGTATTCACCAGATTTGGCTACCAGCGACTACTACCTTTTCAGTAACCCGAAACAATTCCTTCGTGGAAAGCGTTTTCGTCGAAGGAAGAAGCTATTACAGCCGCAGACGCGTATTTTACAGAGCTTCCAGAAAGTCATTGAGGGATGGTATACAATTATTGGAGGATAATTGGCATAAGCGTATTAAAGTTAAGGGAGATTATATTGAATAAAAAAATATATTTCGTAACAAAATTTTTTTCATTTCAAGCGCAAAAACTTTTCAACCAACCTGTATATGTATCTTACTGTTATAATACGAGTATAAAGAACTCCGTCGTCATAAAGTTCGCGGAAACTGCAACAATTCCAGCTTAACAGTTATCAAGTTCTATCATGGCGTTTTCAAGATGGACGATTTCCAAAATTAAACACTATAGAAACTTGACAAAAGTTTTGAAACGAATTATAATCATACGTTAATTTTTGAAAGTAAATGAAACACACAGATCTTTCACGTATTATAGAAAACTTTATTGATGTTGACATCGTGGTATATGATTTCTATTTTTTCCTCATTAAATTCTAATTCTCATTTGTGCGCCATCTACTTGTGATATCTGCTATAACTTAAGCTGAGTATAATTAATAGGGTGGTTCAAATGCCATTAGTACTACGTTACTAAAGAAAATTAAATATCTGGAAATTTAAAGAACACAAAAAATAAATACTATATTGCAAAGTTGGAAATCTCCTTATCTTTAGTATACCTAATTAGAAAATTGCTTGACAAGAAAAGCTACAAAAGGATAGTTGGTTTATGAGGATTGAAGCTAGCGTTAGGAGAAGATGTTTTGTTTCAACCAGCCAAACTGAGCTTGTGGAGGTATGTTGCTAATCACATTGATTCTAATAGTAATTTGACTCAGCGGCCTTGCCTGCATTTTGGTCAAAATTTTTTTCATCTAAGTATTGTCGGTAATTTTCATAATTATATGCATTATTGTGAAGACCAGAGTATAGTTCAATTGTTTTTACCTTAATTTTTGGATTGCACCAAAATAGTAAAAAAGTCAATCTATGTTATACTTCCGAAGAAGCTAATGAAAAGGATTCACCTAATTTCTTAAGTTCTTTTCTTTTGTGGAATGTTTACAGAGTAAAGCATTCTCTTTATGATCAACGAAATCGGGTAAAGTTTCCACCGAGTTAAACCAGCTTTCAATGAGTTAAACTGCTTCGAAGTGACCCTTGGACTACTGAATTTTTTCTAAAATTCATTTGTAACGACCTCTTAGCTGTTTAACCATATAAACATCGGAGCTTATTTCCATTAACTTCCAAAAATATACGTGAGTCCATATCTGCATGGCTATTTAGGGTCATCGAAAAGGCACGGGTGTCTTATCCCAATTTTGATCTACGAAGAATTAGTATTATTAGCAGATCTTCTAGATAAATTTTAGTTACAAAATTCTACCATATCTAGCGTGGGTCATGCTTTCGTAATATTCATTGTAGACGACCTACAGGTCTTGTGGGTTCTAAGTTCCACACAAACGAACTGCTAATGAATATGCAATTGCTTTATATTTTATTCATTATATGGTCTGATTTAGAAATGAATCCAACTCATGAAACTTTGGCCGCGTCGCAGAAGTAAATTAAAGGCAAAATAAATTTCCATTTTTTCAGCTTTCTACTGCGCTTGCGTTTTATTATTCTAATTGTTTTTGGTTAGTTTTGACTCTCCACACTTAACACTAGGGTTAGTTAATTTGTGAATTTGTTTGGTTAAAAATATTAAATGTAAAGCCTTGATAAGCCTTCCCCATCAAAAAAAAATCCGTTAATTTCACTGATCACAATTGGCTTCGTTTCCTAACATCTCCTCACGACCATTACGCCGCCTACGTTCTCTAAAAGTTTGGCTTATCTGAAAATATATTTCTTTTGGAAGATAGACTACTTAAAATAAGAAAAAATATTTGCATTCTTCTAAGGCTAATTATAATTTAATTCGTCATAGGTATTAGATCAAAAATTAAGAAGAAGAAAAGAAATTAGAATTCTTCATCACTCATTTACGCCACAACCGGTTGACGTTTCTGCAGCACTACATTGAAACCGTTCTCCAATTTCAAAATAATATCGGCCTGCAACTTCCAATCCGCCTCGGTCTCATTGCAGTGTATCGTGTAATTACGAATGATGGTGGAGAGCAACACCTTCAGCTTCAACATGGCGTACTTACGACCGACGCAACTACGTGGACCGGCGCTGAACGGAATGAAACTGTAGTAGTGACGTTTGGCCATGCGTTCGGGCAAGAAGTTGTCGGGATCGAACTTGTCAGGATTGGCATAAATGTCGGGACGTCGGTGTACGCGATATTGCAGTACGACCACAGTAGTGCCCTTTGGCACAACATAAGGACCAGATGCCAATTTTACATCGCTGTCGACGCGACGTGCAATCAACGGTACTGGTGGGTACATACGTAGTGTCTCCATAATGACACGTTCCAAATATTTCATCTCCATGGTATCGTTAAAGGTGCAGTCACGCAAGAAGTTATCGCCAAAGATGGCCTTTTGCTCGGCTAAGACCTTCTCTTGCACATCTTTATGCATGCCCATCATGCAGAGCGCAAAGCTGGAACCAGCAGAAGTGGTATCGTGACCCTATAACGATTGAATCGAAATTTTAACGAAATCATTTTTATAGTTTACATCATTATATAGAATATAGTTATAGTTACCTCAAACATAATCGTGTTCACCTCATCCATAATATCCTTCTCGTTCCACTCGATCTCGGGATTCTTAGCCATCTCTACCATGGCGTCCAACAGTGCCAGCCGACGTTTAGCGCCCACATCATTCTCGTCGATATCATCCAAATCGTCACGCAGTCCACCGACCTTTTTAGCCGCCGCTTTCTTTGCCGTCTCATCGACCTCTTCAACAATAGCATTACCCTCCGCATTGTAGTTAGCCTTGCGATCCATGACGACACGCTTGGTCATGCCCAAGATAATGTTCATCATCTTATCGCCCTTTTGACGCATTTTCGTCATATTGTAAATGGAGTCCAAACGATACAACACTTTCACTTGTCGCTTGTGTATGATATCACACATATCTACGACGGCCTTGGCATATTCGAAACTCTTATTACCTTCCGGTATCTTCTTTACACCCATAGCGGTGCTGAGCAAGATCTCCACAGTGGTTTGTGACATATAATCGTGAATATCAAATTCCTTACCTACTTCTTTAGCCATACGTTCCACAACATTTTTGGAGTGTTGCACAAAAGTCGGCACAAAGCTCTTCAAAATGCTCTGATGGAAAGTCGGTGCAATCATTTTGCGATGGTGACGCCAGTGATTACCGCTGCTAATGAGCAGACCATCGCCGAACCATGGTTTGAAGTAACGGTACTCTTCAGATTTATCCAAATGATTATTGCTGCTCAAGATGATCTCAATATCATTGGGATTTGTGAGGAATATCAGCAGCACATGACCCAACGCAGCACGTAATGTTTCACCATACTGTTCCAAGTAGGTATTACCCTTGGCGACAATTTCTACAAATACGAAAGATGAAAATCGTAGAGTTTTCGAAACTAAATTTAATTACAAAAGCTTTCCAGTTACCCACCTGCATTCGAACAACCCAACACCAAATGAGCATTACCCAAAACGGGCAGCTCTGGTGGACTGGGTATATTCTTCGTCATACGAAATTCGCGCGAACTGCGACGCCAGTACTCGTACAAGGCCGCAATCAACACTACACCAATCAACGAAGTCCACAAGGCGCCCAAACCACCGCTGGCCGATGCCTGCGTAATGGCCTCTTGCACTGTCTCTGTTGCAGCCGACATTTTCTTTGTTCACTTTGCACAATTAACCTTTTGCACCGTTAATCCCAATGGGTTATATGGAATTCCTTATTCCGATATAACTGTGTGCCACTGCTGTCTCTTGTAGGTATTTTCTTAAACAAATTTTGCCGTTCTGAAGCACGGTCAACACTGAACTGAATGGAACCAGGGACGTGTATGCAATTTTATGGTTTCGAAATGAAATAGTAATTTTCCAATTTACAAATATTTTAATCAATTCATTGAGTCGATTTTAATTAGGAAGACAGTTTTACGAAATGGATTTGCATTTATAATACGAAGAAAGGTGAAGGAGGGATATTGTTTCTAAGCATATAAACTTCAACTTTTGTTCTTGTTACAAGCACTTATTTATATAAGTCTACTTATGTACATACAGGTATATATAGAACTCATGTACTTAGATACATATTGAACATAGAATCTAAAATGCGAAATGCAAACTAGTGCATGCTCGTGCTCTATATTGTGTACACTGACCGTTTGAAAATTGTATAATAGAACAAACTTAAATCATGATATGTACCCCTTTGACTAACCCTGAAAGTCGCTGATAACTGATAACATGGAAAACGACCTTAGCTCTTTCGAGACAAAGTCCACATTCCGTCTTAGAACCTCGTAGAAGTCAGTAACGAGATAGATGGCTGTGAATGAGTAATCAGACCCAAAGATGCGCAGTTTCATGGTGTGGTATCATTTGTACTCCTAACTTGGAAAGCCTCTGAAAACTGATATTATGAAAATCTTCGTACTGTTGGCTCTTTCGAGACAAAGTCCACTTCCAGACTTACATCTTAGAAAAAAAAAGTTGGTAAAGAGAAGATGGTAGACAGCAGATTTACAGTTTCTCTTACTACTTATAAAGCGATTATTCATATTGTGGTTTCCCATTTGAGAACTCAAAAAAGTTTATATAATTTAAAGAGGTTGAGAAACCCAGCTCCCTCTCAGAAGAAATATACCTAGTTAATATAATATAAAATATAAAGGAGTTGTGAATGATCTAATAATCAATAAATAATTTGGCAGTTTCTTCTACTTCTTATTGAGTAAACACAAAACTGTTTAAAAATAGATCTGCTATACCCTCTTAGTTTTGAAAACAACAATATCAGGGGTAGCAATAGTTAAATTTGTTTAAAGTTTCGATTTCTAATTAAATGGTTTTTAAATACACTGGTCGAAGATCTCCAATAATACAAGTAGAGATCTCAATTCTTACACGAGACTTTGGTCTTATCTCTGTAAAGTAACATCAAAACTCACAGAGAATATTTGAGTGGGCGCTTAATCATATAGGCAAAAGGTGTTATGAAGACTTCGCAGTTTTTATTATGACAATACTGAGTGGACTTAGCGAAAGACAGCGTAACTTTCGAGTTGTAGAAGCTCTAAAAATTGGAACCCTCAACATACATACTATATGGAAATTTTATGCGAACTTTACAAAGTTTTTCAGTGTCAAAGAATACAGTACTTGTAGAGCTTCTTATCGGTGTCGGTAAATGACATGAAGAAAAAGTTACGAAAAACTTAAATTCCTTAATGTGCAATAGCTTATTTTGTTGTTGTTATTATTGTATTAATTTACATAGCTAATAAATTAAGTGATGACAAGCAAGTTTCAGAAGCCCACCGTTTAAAATCAGTGTTATTTGCACATTGGAACCGACCTTGCATTCCAGTGCAACAGCCTGCCATATTTTTCATTTACACATACATAAAGGTGTTTACGCGATACATGGGTATTGAAGACTAATGTTTATATACATATATATGTGGGTACTTTTGGAAATAGTATTTCATAAAAGAATCCACACGTACGTGACACAAGCCACACATGTACTTGTCTTTTCATGATTGAATCGTATTAATCAGAAATTTACTTTGAGATACATAATAATTGTATGCTATGTATTATATTATAAACATACACTAAAGCTAATTTGACACCATAATTTTTTCAATTAGCAATTGTTATTATACCCTAACAGTTTTGTAAGTTTGTAACACCCAGAATTAAACGTCGGAGATCCTATAGAGCATATATAATATATATATATATATATGTATATATACAAGTACAAGTATAATCAGCGTGACGAGCTGAGTCTATTTAGCCCTATCTGTCTCTCCATCGTTCCAACTGTCTATGTATACGCGAATTAGTCCCTGATTTTTTGAGATATCGATCTAAAATTTTATAAGATTTTCCCCAAGAGCTGCTCATTTGTCGGAACCGTCGATATCGAACCAGTGCATCATATACCGCCAAACAAACTGAACGTTCAAAATCAAGTTCTTGTATGAAAAACTTATTTATTTGTGAAGGTTTTCCTAACAACCGAAGTTAGAGTTTTTCTTGTTTTTCTTGTTATATCGAAACGCAGCTTCCAATCCTTTCTCTTTCTTTCCTTGGTCTCTCGCTGGGACCAAATCCTAAAGATTATAAACTTTTGCATTCCTAAGCCTTTACGAACCATATGTCGAACACATTGTTTTGAAATCTGTAGGCGCTAACTCGATCAACTCTAGTATACGTTCATTCTTACCGAATCGATCTGTTTTTGCAGTATATGTTGATGGTTGTCCCTGATTAACCCATGATTTTCTCCATTTAGAGAAATCCATTTTTCATCGCCAATTCGATGAAAAACTGATTTTTTTCGTGTCTTTAAGGCAAAAATTCACAAACTTTTTTTTTTTTTATTTGTTATTCATTCAATTTATGTGGCACCTATTTTCCATACTTTTTGATCTTTCTCATAGCTTTCAAACAGTCTGAAATTATTACCGGTGCAACATTTATCATGGCTGCCATTTGCTGTTGACTCAAAGTATCATCTTCATCTAATATTGCTTGCAGTTCGGTGTCTTCAAAATTTTTTGACGATCTTCCACGTTCTTCATTTCGCACATCAAAATCATTATCTCTGAACCGTTGAAATCATCTTTTGCATGTTGCTTCTGATAGAGCATCATCACCATATGCCTCGACAATCATTCAATGCGACTCTGCAACACTTTTCTTCAAATAGAAACAAAAAATTAATGCTTTCCGGTACCAAAAATAATATGATGTTGTGTCTTCAATGACTGTAATGTCATGCCAACCAAACAGAAAAAATTTGATGCTCGTTCACAAAAAATAACGCTCACTTCATTCTGGTACACCTGGTATGTAGTTCCTTTTCAGTAATGAATTCAAATAGGGAAATGGCCAATGGATATGCTGAGGGACCGAAGATCTAGCGCTATCATTAAACATACAATCTAACCTTTTCTTTTACAGTCTTCAATACAAATTTTAAAGTAGAGACTTAGACTCAATTAATTAACAGCCGCCGCTGGTAATAAAAAGTTATTGCTGTTGTTGTTGTTGTTGTAGCGGCAGAATTCTACCGAGTTGACAGTCCTTGGCCGGAATAAATCCGGGTCCGTTCCGGTTACGTAGACCCGACTGTCGTGGGAACGGAAAATTATTGCTAATATAACCTGCTATAAAAAATTTAAATGATATGAAGTCGGTTGTTGTTGCTAAATTTCGAAATTGAGAACTGAATTTTTGTTAAGAAATAAGACATCTTATTTCACATTTTTCGATTATTTGCAACTATTTTACATATGAAAATTTTTTTGCTTTCCGATAAATTTACCAGTTTTAATTTCATTGTTTACATTGTTGTTGTTGTGCACAATATTGCTGACTATTCCAAACTGTAATTTTAAAAGCGTCCTACTGTATGTGCCAACAAAAGCAACGTAATGTATTCGGAAATTATGTGCGAATACAAGTTGTCCTCTAATTTGTCAGTAGAGGTCATTGGTTTACCTTTTTTCAGACTTTCCTACTTAACTTAACATAGTTCGTTAATTTATGCAAAATGACTGAGTGTAATTTCGTAATATTACTGAAAATGTTAAGCAGTCGAAATTACAGAAATACTTTTAATTCTGAGCGAAATTTTCGGGAAAATTTTAGAAACCGGCTGTGTGACCAATTGCTTTGATTTGAAAGGTTTAAGTGGTGCGCGATTTCAAGTGTTTGCACAGCAGTAAGAACATGTTGTTTTTGTTATTTTAGTTTTAGTTTTATTTTTGTTTTTGAAGTACTTAACTAATGTGCGACGCCAGAAGATGACGTCTTAAACTTAAACTAAATTCACGCATTATTGAATGGGACCACTGGCAGAAGAGCGCCTGAATGCTTGATCGTCGCGCAGTACTCGCCTACAAGTGCCCACACACACGCATACAAGCGCACCGGATTAGAACACGTGGAATTCGAAAGCAGGATATGTGCTGCTAAATGAAGCATTACAGATTGAGGATACTTCCTGTGCAGCACGCGCAAGCGAAGCATGTCCTCAGACAGGAACGCGTGGGCATGCTGCTGCCATTTCAACTAGAGGGCACCGCCATGCTTGAATTAACAAGCGGACGGCATTCACTTGTGATCCTTGCCGTGGAGGGACGCACGGGCGCTTCCAAATCAAAACAACCTACCAAGGAGTGAATGCTAGCGAAGATCACAAGGAAAAAAAAACATATAATATTATAACAATAAATTGCAGCACTTAACGAAGCGAAATTGAACACTAAGCAACTTGGACTTGAGTTTACAAAAAACAAAAAAAACAACAACACAAAGCGCTTTGCTCAAGTGTACGCAAAGGTCGCCTGACATAAAAGTGAAAACAATGAAAATTTCAAAGACAATAAACAAATAAAAGCACACAACACACACACATACATACACATATAAATAAATATATATAATATTACTATAAATAATATATGCGAGTGAATGTGTGCACGACTTGCTCGTCATTTATACAACACAAATGAAATTGAGAGCAATATCCTTCCGGCTCCGACTAAGGTACGTCTACCTTTGACAGTGAACGCGCAACAGGATATGCGCGATCGCGCATAAAAACGTCAAGAACAAGTGTTATCCGCTCTCAGGGCGTACAATCGAAATGTTAAATGCATTCATACACAAAATTCAACAAAGCCCCCATGTATTGTACAATGACGAGTGCGAGAAAGAAATGTGTAGAAGAAAAAATATACAAAACTGGCATGAAAAGCGAAAACCAAGCGCTAGGGAAGTCCAGTCACTGTCAGCCGAGCAGAAAAGCCAAAATATTCACAACAATACACTAGACGGTGAATAAATTTATTTTTATTTTAAATTTTTACTTTTTTTTTTTTAATTTTTTTGTTTTTGCTACGCCAGCATTGACGCGCACTTGCAATCACACCGGAAGTGGGTGATTTTTTCTTCCTTGCAATTTCAACGCTCACACTCGCACAAACATATGTACATAGATGTTATACTTTAACTTGCGACCACTCTTCACAATTGCTTTTGTTGTGCGCTGATTTCTTGCGCTTCCTTACTTTTCATTTATTTCACTTATTGTTATTATAATTTTTTGTGGTTAAATGAATGGTTCGGTTCGGTTCGGTTTGGCTGACTGACTGCTTTTTGTTGTGATTTTGTGTTTTAAGAGCGCATTTTGTGCTATTTACATTACTGCAGGATTGCCAAAAAATATATTTGCATATACTAATGTACCTTCATAGGTGCATTTTTTATAGCTTAAAATGGTATAAACAGATCTTTTTCTTGAATTTGATCGGTCAGTTTATATATATATATTGGTCCGATCTGAAAAATATGTTCGAAGATTGTAGCGATGTCGATAGCGATACGTTGTCAAATAAACATTTTTTCCGTACACGAACTTGAGTATGATCGGCCAGTTTGTATGACAGCTAGATGCTTTAGTTGTCGGATATCGCGGTACCGACAAATCAGCAACTTCTTGGTGCGAAAAAGACGTGTGCCTTATTTCAGTTCGATGTCTCAAAACTGAAGGACTAGTTCGCGTGTATACAGACGGATAGACGGACGATGATTATTTATGGTATATATACTAGTATACTTTATAAGATCTCCAACGTTTCCTTTTGGGTGTTACAAACATTGTGGCAAACGGGATATAAAAATCAAATAGTTTTGTAGGTGTTCCCAGAGGCATACGACCGCACTTTTCATTTGGGATAGTCAGTAATAAAACTACCCCTTTCGTTAGTACGAGTTCAAAACATTTATTACCTGACGCTCTTCAAACTTTTCTTCAAATGGCAGATTCAATGACTACAATATTTGACAGGTTCACGTTTGATGTATGTTGTTACTCTTACAACATAATTTTTCATTTAACAACAAAAAGTTTGATGTGGTTGTGTAGTGGTGAATTGGTTACCTCCGTCATGTAGGATGCAGACTGAGACTATTTAGGATTCATATCGTGAAATAGTTAAAAAATACAATTATGGCGCTAAAAGACTCACTTAGTTCTCGAGTGACCGCCAAAAAAAACATGTTCATTATATTTTCTTTCATTTTTTAAAGCTTTTAAATACACCAATTTTAGAATTGAAAAAAAATCCTTGAGGTAGATTTTTTACTAAATCTTATACTCTACAACCATTCAGCGATGTAAAAAAATGGTTTCCAAAACGTGCAAAAGTTATGGCATTTTTAATGAAAATTCCTGTGTCCCATAAGGTGCCACACACTTCAAACGTACTATTCGAGCAAAGTTTTATCCCGTTATGCGAGTATTAATTGGTGCTTTATTTAAATACTGGAATGTGAAAGAATCAGATGGAATTTATAATTGTGTTCTATGGGAAGTAGGCGCAGTTTTAGTTCAATTATTATGTACTGAATTTGATTGAAATCGTTCGAGCAGTTCTCGAGATATGTGATTTTACGTAAAAGTGGCTCCTTATGCCATCCCAAATGTAAAATTTAATGTCTCTGATGCACTAAGATATTGATTTATCCACTAAAATTATTCTCCTTTAAGATCTTTACACTTTATTCCGTAGCAAGGCAAATCTATATGGTGGATGACTCATCAAATCGATGTTTTGAGTGCTCAAAAATGCTGTTGTTTCAGTCGATGTGTGAGAGGTCGCATTGTCGTAGTGAAGATTGATCTATCTGCGATGGTTGGTTTTCCTAATTTCTTGACACACAACTGGCAAGCCAATAGTTGTATACCACTCACAATTTTCTGTTCTGTGTTGTTCTAGCAGTCTGGTTGCGACACATCCCGTTTTTCTAAAAAAAAAACAGGCAACCATTTGCTGGGATGTGTTTTGTGCGCGAACAACTTTTGTTGAGAGAGATGAATATTTTAAGTTACTGTAAACAGCACAAACAGCGCTCGTATGTCAAAATGTTCTGAGTATGTATAACATCAAAAATGTCAAAATTTATGTTAAAGTTGTGAGTTGCCAGATTGCTACAATATCTTCACCCTGTAGTTATTTCTGAAATTGCCTGCAAGTTTATTTCTTCTGCTATCGCATTTGTTGCATAACGCTTCCTTGCATTGAGATAAATTAAATATTACCCTGAAGGGTCTAGAAAGAAATATTTTTCAATTTGTGAGAAAGTGGCGTTCGACTTGCAAAGTAAAATGACCAGGTCACCCGTAGATAATAGCTACCACGCTAGTCTAAAATGTTGTTGTGATAGTAACTTAATGAGGTGGAGGAGCTTTGCTACGTAGAAATTTAATGAAGTAGAAGATAGTATGGTAGCTAGGGGATCACTTTTCTTAGGTCTCCTCGATTTTCATGCTTCACCCCTAAAGAACATGAATTCTTGCCTCCTGCGGAAACAATGCTGATATAAGATTTGTACACAATAGAAGAGCGAGTATAAGCGACAGATTTTCGTTAAGCCTGCTTTTAGTTTTCGCGGTTATTAAAAGCTAAGTCGCCTATAAATAATCATGAGACAATACGCAGGCGTTGTTTTATGGATGTTAGGAGTTGAGACACTAACACTTTTGGCTTGAAGGGAGAGGATGGCGAACTTGGTGTTTTGGGCTTTTGTCTGACTTGAGGGCAGAACTTACTCTTTTGAATTGCCTCAGCAATAGCAAGTAGATTCCAAATGACCTGATGAATCTGACTATTCTGCTTCCCAGATCGGTGTCTACTTTGAAGTGCGTTTCGTTGTTAACATGACAACAATAATTAAGGGGCAAACCTAGTGTGCTAGCCTTTGGGAATTAAAAAACACACCACGGTATCAATTATTTTAAAACTTTTTTGAAGTGATTACAGCCTTCTCTGTGAAAGAAAACTATAATAAATTCTCTAATAGAAGATTTTGTTTCTACAGTGTCCTGCGGTTGAAATAAATAAAAAAAAAGTTGAATGTTACCTAAAATTTTTATTGCTTTTGGCATGCCAAAACCCCGGTCATTATTTGGATTTCTATATACAGAACATGCAGGTAAAATTTGATAGTGATCGGACCATTTATCCGCGAGTAATCAGTTGAAGACTGTAATTAAAAATCTATTTGAGATATCAAATTAAATTTTGGTATGTTATTTTTAAGGTTGTAACTTATCGAAATAAGTAAAAAACCGATTTTTTTTTAATTGCCCACTAGGTATGCCCTTAAGCTGCACCCGCTGTTCGGATTGAGCCATAGGAAAAGTGGTTTCATTGGCATAAGGATTGGTATGCATTGGGCATGCAAAGAACTGGTAACGTGGTGACTAATAAAGTCAATAACGTATATGTTTAATTTTCACGAAGGCTGTTAATATATATGTACAGCTGTGTGCGTTTAAATAGTAGTGCGCAATAATTAAATAAATGTTGCTACATATTTGACACTACACACGATATTCATATGTATATCTAGTAAATGTACCAAAAAAACTTTAACCGTAACTTTTTATATATATGTATGCACATGTATGTACATACATACATATATGGGTCGTATAGGACTTCATTAATTTGATTACTGTCGCTTTGTTACCTTTTGTCTTATTTGTATGTCATGTTTATACATAATTAACGCTACTTAGCCCATATTAAATTTGGGAATTAGCATATGTCATCAAATGCTTTCACACGTATTGTATAAATGTATGTACACGTAATATTAGTATAAGTCTTATTAATTCTCACATTGGAATATGTTGGACAGCTCCATTCATCTTTCAACCTTGAGGTAAATCAATACAAAATGACTCATTCAAAGATTAACAATTCTAAAATAAAATGAATTTTCTTCTATTAGATAATAATATTCTCTCTAGTGAACTTATTATTGCTTATTGTCCATATTAAAATTGTATAGAAATCAATCAGATGCCTTTCAACTAAGCTCTGTTTGAAAACACTATGCAAAGCAGGTGTTACAATAGTCCATAAACTGTGATTGGGTTGATAACTTACAAGCCTCGCATTTTTTATAAAAAAAAATGTTAATAGAAAATCGCAAAATTTCACTGTGTTACACATAAAAATTTAATATGAGCTTTTGAACTGTAATATTTAAACAGTCTTCAAGGTGATGTAGAGCAAAAATACATATATAAATAGTTATAGAAATACAGTTAAAATTAAATACAAATATATATTTTATTTATAATTAACTATCTTTTTGTTTACCGACACATGCATTATTTAAGTTGCAGCTATGCTGATTACTATGCAGATACATAAGTATGTACATTTATTTATGTATAGTGAGCTACAAATTGAATGCCATAAATATTTAACTAGCTGTCTTTTACTATATGCATTATCCATACTCCATTATCTTGTGCCATTCTTTTAGTAAGCGCGCTTTGCGTACTATATTGTGACCTTCGACACAATTATTTGTAATCTATCAGCGTTTACACTAACATAATTTGTCTTTTTGTATCAACATTATTATTATTCTTTTTTTTGCTTATTTTCGCTTAGAACATTTTTTTCTTAACTGCCGTATAACGTTCCATGTAAACTTCATAACCTTCTAAATCTGTAAACTGTTTGGAATTGAAGAGGTTGCCATCAACAGACAGATTGCAGATTTTCGATTCCTTTAATATGCGTGGCGTGAATGCGTTAGCCTGTAGACAATTTTCTTCTAGTCGTAAAACTTTTAGTTTTGGACACGCTGCAATCTCCTCGGAAAGTGTTGAAATTTGATTTTGATTTAAATTCAGCTCAGTCATATAAAGTGTGCCAACCTCAGCAGGTACTGTTGTAATTCTATTGCGTGACAGATCCAATACATCGAGATGTTTGAGACCGCACAACATGGTGGGAAATTCTTTAATTTGATTATTGGACAGATTCACAGTTTTCAAATTATTGCAGTTCGATAGTGTTTTTGGTATTTTCGTAAGGTAATTGTTCATCACTAATAGCACCTCCAGTTTCGTTAATTCGCCTAACACATCTGGCAGTTCAATAAGTTTATTTCCACTGAGGTTCAGATGTTTGACCAGGGTGAAATGACCCAACTCATCCGGTAAACGCTCAAAGCGATTTTCGGAAAGATCTGCAAGTAATTAGAATAATGTTAAAATCAAGCAAACGACAGTAAGGTGTGTGCACTTACCAAGTGTTTTAAGAACATTTGGGTAATTTTTCAATTGTGGTGGAAATTCTTGTAAGCGCTGTAGTGAAATCTTTAGTATGCCAGTTTTCTGCGCTGTTTCCAGGTGTTGGCGCACTTGTTTGTTACCCATTATGCCTACCGGATAAAAATTCCGATACAAAACTTATTAGCACTTTAAGCAATTAATTAGTAAAAAGAAAATTACACTCCGACGATGTATTTGCTTCCAATTGGTGAGCGATATTTTTTGTTTTGTGCTCTGCAAACAGCTGTTGCTGACATTTCTGGGCAGCGGCTCCAACGGCAGCTGTGTAGCCATTCCAAAGGGAATTAAGAGCATTCTTAGAAGGCTTCTTTGTTTTTTGCTTTTTATAAGATAAAAATATATAAATTAAAATTAATTTTGTGCTATCAAATTATTATGTTAAACACTTGCATGGTTTACTTTATTATAATGCATGTTGGCGTTTGCTCGTGTAACCGGATAGATGTCACTGTAAACAATTCGTATGGCAACGCTCTTCCTAAACAGCTGTTTTAGGTGAAAGCTCTTGCTCTTCCTTTCAATATTTTAGCACAGTGTTGGCATTTTATTGTTACTTCTATAATTTTTGCACAAAAAGGAATTTGAAAAATATTTTAATTGTGTGTATAAATTGAAATGATACACAGCCTATTTATAGTAAACAACAGCGGGTGAGTTATGTCGAAATCAATTTGCTTTTCTTTTCCAAAAATTCATTGTAATATTTGTTCTGTTGTCGAATTTTTTTCACTACACACCTACTTATAAGTACCATCTGTTTACTTAATATTTACGATTTCAATAATATAAAAACAAATACAAAACAATAAGAGTGTTAATCGCTAATCGTTAAATACATTATTCTTGTTTTCGATAGCGATGTTTTTCTTGAAAAACATTGGCGTTCAGTGGTTTCCCGTTCAGTGTGCGATTACTTCCTCGATGCTCAGCGCAATGCCCCATTGGTAAGTAAACAACAACATTTACTTATTAAAGTTTCACTTAAATGCTTTTCTTCTAATGTAGGATGTTCCTCCCGTTATTGCAACACCTCACTACTACCTCATCACAGTGCAACGTAATGGCATATCGCTTGTGGCCGCCTGCAAGCAAGAAGTGCCACCATTATTCGTTATCGAATTCCTACACCGAGTAATGGACACATTTCAGGATTACTTTGGTGATTGTTCGGAGTCAATTATTAAGGAAAATTATGTAGTCGTTTATGAATTGCTCGATGAAATGTTGGACAATGGTTTCCCACTTTCAACGGAGAGCAATATACTTAAAGAGCTAATTAAGCCGCCAAATATTTTGCGTACCATCGCAAATACCGTTACAGGGAAAAGCAAGTAAGACATAAAAAAATAGATTTGGTTGTACAGATTACTTATTATTATTTCCAGCGTTAGCACAACGCTACCCTCTGGCCAGTTATCGGCCATACCATGGCGTCGTAGTGGTGTGCGTTACAATAATAATGAAGCTTACTTCGATGTTATTGAAGAGGTCGACGCCATTATTGATAAGTCTGGGTCCACAGTGTTTGCCGAAATACAGGGTTATGTATGTATTGAACTTTTTGGTATACTCGTGTATTTATATTTACTATAATGTTCATTCTGCACAAATTTTACAGATTGACTGCTGCTGCAAGCTTTCGGGCATGCCTGATCTCACACTCTCCTTTATGAATCCTCGCCTCTTCGACGACGTCTCATTCCATCCATGCGTACGCTTCAAGCGTTGGGAGTCCGAACGTTTGCTCTCCTTCATTCCGCCAGATGGTAATTTCCGTCTAATGTCTTACCACATTAGTTCACAATCAGTAGTGGCAATACCGGTCTATATAAGACATAATTTCTCCATAAAAACTGGTGAACAGGGACGTTTGGATTTGACTGTCGGTCCACGTACTACACTCGGTCGTACGGTGGACAAAGTGAAATTAGAGATTACAATGCCGAAGTGTGTTCTAAATTGCATTTTAACACCAAATCAAGGCAAATATACATTTGACTCAGTTACTAAGACATTATCGTGGGAGGTGGGCCGCATTGATGTATCCAAATTGCCAAATATTAGGGGCACTGTAAGTGTAAACATTGAAATTGTGTAATAGTAATGAATGAGTTTAATTTATTTTTCATTTTCTTGCATTTAGGTATCAATTACACCCGGCAGCACAAATATCGATGCGAATCCCTCTATTAATGTGCAATTTTCAATCTCACAACTAGCTGTTTCGGGACTGAAGGTCAATCGTCTTGATATGTATGGCGAAAAATATAAGCCCTTCAAAGGTGTCAAATATATTACTAGGGCGGGCAAATTTCAAGTGCGCATGTAAGGCACTTAAACATTTGCGCTTGCTAGCAAGATATACATTTAATTAGTACATTTCTGTTTATTATACAGATTTGATTCCAAGTCTTGTAAAGGCTCTTTTTCGGAGTTGCATGTAAACATGAATACAAAGAATTTAAAAAATAAATATTTATAATTATTATTATGTAACACATACTCATTTTCAGAAATATCTAAAATATTAATGTTAGGTATATGGTGGCTAAGGAAAGTGTTGATCCAAATTTACCCATTTTGGCACAAGTTATAGTTCCACTTTGACAATTTTTGGACGTAAGATGAAATGAACCTTGAGAGCATTATTTGTGCAAAGTTTTACTCTAATCACTTCTTTGATGCTTGATTTGAATACTATAAAGTGAAAGATTCAGATGGTATTTAAAAATTTGTTATATGGAAAGTAGGCGTGTTTGGTTAACCTCACACACCAAATTTGGTTGAAATCCCTCAAATAGTTCCTGAGGATTTCACCTAAAGGTGGGCGGTGCCACGCCCATTGTCAATCACCCCTATATAGCCTTTCCTTACCATCATAGTTGTGAACTTTAATGCTTATGGCGCATTTGTTCAGTGAGCTATCGCACGCTACGTGGTGTTCAACAGGTTCGTTTTAGGTGATACAAGGAACCATTAATTGAACAAAACTATTATACATGCAACATGTGGCAAAATGTGTGTAATAAGAAAAGCAGTAACTTCAGGAAGCTATACCTGTAGAAGGGTAGGTGCATTTCTTATAGCAAAAAAGGGTACAAAAAGATGTTACTCTTGATTTTGACCGGTTGTTGTAGCGGCAGAATTTTGCAAAACAAAAAAAAAAAAAAGAAAGACACAGAAAAAAGTCGAGTCGAGTTAGTTGAGGACTGTTCAAACCATGATATTGTAGTTATTTAGAATAATGCTTCAAAATTATCAGTTTTGGATCGAATGAAATTCTGAGTCCGTTCCGGTGCCTCCTTAATTTATCTATGGTCAAGCTCATCATACCGAAGATATGGAAAAGCAATAAATTCAGCTCCATCATGAATCATAAAATTGCCTCAATCATTATACTCTTTCTAGAGCTAATAATCACACTTTTTATGAAAAATTTAAATTAAAAATAAAAATGTATACATAAATCGAGACTTCTATAGGATGTACATATCTATGTACAAACTCAAACGCATACATTTTTATGCAAATGCACACATATGTATATATATACATATAGGAGACACATGAAGAGCCATGCATCAACTCATAAGACCCTGCACTCAGCAGCTTGATATATTTGCTGTTGTTGCTATGCCTGTCGTCTCTGTAACCCACTGTTTGTTGAACCAAAGCAAATCAATAGGAATTTGTGAGTTGTTCAAAATGCAAAACTTGATTTTACGCGTAGACAAATTCACATACATATACATACATATATATTATATGTATATACATACATACATATATACAGCGAACGAGACACACATTAAAGTATAAAGTCAGCGGGTTACTGCAACTGCATTTGAGTTAGCAACAAGTTGCAGTGTTGGTGGCGGCGACTGCTGAGTCTCTTTATAAATAGTTGCACTGGTTGGTAGTGGCAGCATTTTTGCATTTTAAAACTCTTCGCCGTTAAAGCTTTGTCGCGATAGACATCGTTGCAGCGTGTGCAGCACTTGGATGCTGCGAGAAACCTGTTTATGGCCATAAGTGGCAAAAGCCATTTTAGTTTACTTTATTTTATTTTAATTAAATATTAAAATGCACTTTTAATGACCTTTTTTCATCACATGGAATATGGTAAGAAAATGAAAATTTTTTAATTTATTATTAGTTTGGTGTTTTATTATAAAATATTGTAATATTTCACTAAGACCTAAAGTAAGATTATTTATTGACTAACTGAACCATTAGCTGTCTCTTGAATCTTAACACGCATTACTTCGCATTCGGTACCCTACATTAGTTTCTAAACTGTTCTCTCCTGTATTAGGTGCTCATCCAGTATTTTTAACTGTATTCAGTAGGCACTCGTTTGCAGAGCAGACTTTTTACCAAATTGGTATGACTAGAGTTTTAATCCCGCCATGGCTTATCACCTCCGCAGTGACTCCCAAAAGTAGCAAAATAATGTTTAAGTTACTTTAGCAAAATCAACTTAATCTACTAGTTACTGCTATATATTGATTTACATATGTACATATGTATATACAATATTATAACAGCGGCAGAAAATGTCTAAATAGCTTATGAAATCTTCTTAAAAATAGAAATTTCCAATATATTCTTTCTAAAGTATTGCTAAAACTCCGAGATTTTAATTAAAGCCCGTATAACACTCCTATGTAGATAAGCAGTTTATGAGGTTTGCAAGTTTAACCGTTTTTTTCAACTACAAATCAGTCATTGTAATGTAGCATTTGAAATTTGAGGCTATTTTATATAAAAATACATTTAAGAGATGTCTTTAGGGCGATCGAAAAATTTGAATCTACAAATATATTTATACTTTAAGGGGCATACTTAGGTGAAAATTTTGAAAAAAAATTAATATTTGCATATTTTGATATTGTAGTTTATGCCTTTAAAAATACCATATAATTTAAAGTAAGTATTTTTATTATAATTATATTGCGCGCTTCTAAAGTGTAGCCGCTCAGTTTAAACAGTCCAATCAGCTCCATCAGTTTATCTTCAAACGCCTTTTTCTCGAAACAGCATTTTTCGAATTTGCTTGAATTAGATTACACGGAGGCAAATGACCCGAACATAATTTTTTTGCATGTTTTTTTTTTATATAGTTCACCTACCAGTTTTTTCTTTTGAAACGACCAAAATTTTGGGTAAAGTGCAACGTTTTTATTTTAAAACGTCATTTTATCAATTTTTCATTTTTTTCGACCGTAGATCATTGTACGGATACTATTTTCGCGAAAGATTTTTTTTTTAGGCCCCTTACTCGGAGACGTTCAAAATCACTGCAGCAGTGAAGGACCTTTTTTTAGCGATGTCGGAGAACGCGTGTAACTCGAAAGTTATTTAATTTTTTTTAACAATTTGATGATGGGTACTCCAAACGGGTTCTGGGCGATGTGTTTCAAAGCTGTAAAAAGTAAGTTGTTGCAATTCTATTTAATATCTAATTGTCATATCATGATTTAAAGATAAACTGAATCTGTGGCGTGTATTTCTCTTAAGTAGAATGCTTAAGTTTTTTGCTCATGAATTGAAAGTTCATGTTTTGTGTGCGAAATATTTTTCTGCTTAAAATTATCTCAAATCCAAAGCCTAAAATACGTATTATTACTATAGATGAATAACTCAAAATTTTGAATTTTGAGAAAATTTCGGTTTTTTTTTAAAGTGATTTTTTTTTTTGAAAAAATGTACACTTCAGAGTTTAGAAATCGAAAATATTGTGAAAACTATCTGATTAGTTTCATCGTTACCTGACAAATATACTTGTATCTAAGGAGGTCGTGTGAAAATTTCTAGTTGATAGCTTTAGTTCTTTCGGAGAAATTTTGCTTACCGACTCCGAAAACAGAATTTCGAAAAAAACGCGTTTAAAGTTTTAACAGCCAATTTAAAAACTCTGTACAAATACGCTCATATCGCCAAAACTATTTGACAGATCAACTTCATATTCTAAACTGAAATATAATATTATATATTATACATACATATGTATATTCGATAAATATGCAAGAACAGAAATTTAAATTGATTTTGATTTGGACAAGTAAAGGGGTTATTAAACAGATCTTAAAATATTTAGTTAGGAGCACTGTTCATATTTTCACTGATAACATCAGTATTGCAAAATAATATAATATAAAAATAAGGACTTACTCAAATAATATTTGTTCCCCTTTAGTACGACTCCTGGTGATCTTGCACTCATATAAATATAAAAATATGTGCAATATTCCTAACTCATATTTAATTACAACAGTTAAATTAAAAGATAAATAATTGATATGTTTGTACAAGTATTTACTTTATCAAAAGCGTTTTTATATATAAATTACAGTGCAAGCGTGCCCACTTTTTCATATATCTTAGCCAAGCGCCATTATTTTGCATGATTTTGCATATTTTACTTACAGATTACTTAACTCTTTTTCCACTGGAATTCTATATTAAAAATGTTCTTAACGTCATGACTTGGACTTTGCTTTGTTGAATTGCCTATGGAAAAAAATCAAAACAAAACAAAAGACTTAAACAACGAACTCATATCGCGCTAGCTACATAAACTTAAACATATATATGAGCAATATAATTGTATGTGTATATACCTATAATATAAACGCGCGTGTACATTTTCATTCAATTACTACGGACACACTACTAGCGGACACATCGTTTTGTAAGCTTGCTCAACAATTTATGACGTGTTTACCCAACAACACTTTGCTTTAATGAATCAGTTCACAACTATTTCCGCTGCAAAAGTGAGTGCGATACACAAAAAAGTTATTTTCAAAGTTCACAAATTAATTTTTATTGCCAAAAAAGGAAATATTTTATTCAACACCATGCTTCTTTGTGGTTGAAATTGGAAAAATTGGCATTACACTTGTGAAAGACGAATTAAAGCAGACTTTGCACGAGATAAGCGCAATTAACTCTGACTAATTTGGATTTTTCAGAAATTTATGTCTGATGAAGAGTTCTCCGAATTTTTTAACAGTAAAATTTTGAGGAAAAAAAGCTTTATTTAAGAAATGTCTTGGTGTAGAAAAACGAAATGTGTTTATTATTATTATTATACCCTGAATCGGGTGTTTTAAGTTTGCCACGAAGTTTGCAACACCCAAAAGGAAAAGTCGGAGATCATATAAAATATATACATAAATGATCAGCATGATGCACTGAGTTGATTAACCCATGTCCGTCTGTCTGTCCGTCCGTCTGTCAATATGCGAACTAGTCCCTCACTTTTTAAGCTACCAATCTGACATTTTCACCTGTCCTTTTCTCACTACAAAGCTGCTCATTTGTCGATACGGCCGATATCGAACCACTATAGCATATAGCTGCCATACAAACTGAACAATCGGAATCAAGCACTTGTATGGGAAATAACATTGACATAAATTATTGTTTAAGACAACAATGTATTCTTCGAAGAAATTCTCCAGATCCGACCACTATAGCATATAGCTATCATACAAACTGTAAGATCAAAATAATGTTGTTGTAAGGAACCTTTGTATTTGTGAAGGGTATTATAGCTTCGGTGCAGCCGAATTTAACGATTTTTATTATTTTTAATAAATTAATTAAATAATATATTTAATAACAGGCACATTTCTTTATAATTACTACCAGTGTGTAACTTTTCGAACTCTACGTTTATTAGAACTTATTCGTTCCTCTACAATCAATCTCTGTATTTCTCAGTAGTACTACTTTCGACATCTCTCGACTTTCGTCATTTCTCTTTGAGCGATTTTCTTTTTATCACTCAGTTTATTTAATTTCATTAATATCAGTATCTAGTTAGAGTGTAGAATTGCACAGAATAGAGTGAAGTATCTTAGATCGCCTATTAGTTGTTAAAGCTTCTGCTTAGAAATGGCATATTTCGTACTTCTGTCAAGCTGTTTAGGTGATATTCCGGTCTAGAGGCATTAATTTGAGATGTTTTCTTAAAAACTCACAATATTATAAGCTCTAGAAATGAGCAGTTGGAAGAAATTGCACGCCAAGATTGTCACTATTGCAGACCTTAAAAATGATCTGAAATTAAAAAACATAAAAAGTTATTAATTTAGATAAATCTTATCTATCATACTTACTAAAAAAATTATGAAACAAAAATAGTATTCGCTAAATCGCGGTTTTCGATAATTTCAATAAACTTTTTTCACTTTTCTGATTTTTTCCTAATATCTACTAAAAAATGGGAATTTTATTCTGGACTAATGCAAAGCACATTTCCGGCATTAAATTATATCCAATATTATCCTTTCACTTAATTTTTATTAGGTATATGGGTGCTAGGGAATATTTTGACTAGACTTTATCCAGTTTTGGTATTATTACCATGGCGCTATGACCTTTTTAGCATATAGTTGCCAAACAAACTGAACGATCAAATACATGTTCTTTTACGAATAATATTTTTATTTGACGAGTTATCGTCACAATATTTGGCACTTATCTGATGAAAAGGTAACGAATGCTATAAGAAATGCAGCAGTGAAGGGTATTATATATTATATATTTGTAGAAATTATATATTTTTTAATATTTTAATATTATTCAGTAATTCTGTAAAAAAAACCATATGAGTCATGCCCATAGTTTGTGTGCCCAAATTTTATTGTGTTAGATCAAACAATTTGTGTTAAAATTTTTCGCGAGATTCGAAGAAATACAGAAAAATCAAAATTTATATATATCTAAGACATTTTTATATTTTCAATACATGTTTATTTACTAAACTTTCATTTTAATATCTTATAATTGTCAATTCAATCTACTTAACCCAAAATCACACAAAAAACAACCGAACTGTATTATAATTAGCAAAAATAATCAAATTATTCAAGTGAGTACTCATTTAACTATATTAAATGTTATGAATTAATAACAATATTGCTGACGGACGGCTAATAAGTACAAGCTCATATACATATACAGAATATATAAACCAGTGGCAAGCGAAAAAAGTTCTACGGCACGCGCTCACGCGATGCACGCAACGGTTGTCAGCTTAGCCCACGTAAATGTGTGTAAACGCAACGCTGCTCAGTCAAATGACGTTAACAGTCAGCGGCGATACCGCTAAGTCGGCAAGCAAATGATAGGCAAATGACAAGTCAGTGGCTTTATATGCAAATATTTTTATATTTAAAAAGTAAAAAATAATAATTAACAAACTAATCGTGACTTTAGTGACTGACATTGATAAATGTCTCAAGCAGCAGTTGCTTGCGCACTCTCTCTCTCACTCTCGCAATCGCTCGATTAGCAAGATCATCAACAGCTCTACTCAATTTGTCAGCGCTCGTACTTCTTCCAGTAACCGCAATTAGTTATAAATCATTGCGTTGATGTCAATAATTTTTAATTGCGTTTATCAGTGAAAAGCGCGCGCATGCAACATTTAACCGCAAATCAATTTTTTTTACAATGTGTTAATAGCTTGTAGAAAAATGTATTTAGAAAATGCCGCTTTGCATTTATCAGCCGCGAAGATTTCAACTTTAACATTGACCTCAATCACGACACTGCCTGCCGCTCAATGCAATGATAAATCTAAATGCAATTTAGCATGGCTTGTGCATTCTCATTGCCAACGGCTGCGCTAAGTGACAGTGATGCTCAACGGCAGACAAAAGCCGCCGACAGGGTGCACTGATCGGTCAGCAATGCTATAGCTTATAGGCTATTTGGCTTTTTGAGTTTCCCACTAGGAAATGTTAGTATTGGAAAATAACTCAGATTAGATAAAACTTAAATTAGATTAGTTGAAGACTTTCTTTATATGGTTGGCAATTTGTCGCTTATTTTGAAAACGGTCATTAAATAGTAGGGTTCTTCCCAAGTTTGCTCAATTTTCCACTTTTTGGCGGAATCCTATTATGATGAATCCAAAATCATATCCATGTATGGAAAACTTTTTTATTTGACAAGATATCTTCATAAAATTTGGCATGGATTATTTTTCCAGGCAACGATACAATATTCGAAGAAATTGTTCAAATCGGACCACAATAGCATATAGCTGTCACACAAACTGTACGATCAAAATCATGTTCTTGTAAGAAACCTTTGTATTTGTGAAGAGAAGCTATAATAGCTTCGATGCAACCGAAGTGAACGTTTTTCGTATTTTAGTCATTGGTTTGATGAAGTTTTAAATATTATCTTATCCACTGACCATTACAACAGTTTAACTTTACAGTTCGAAAAGTAAAAAAATATATATTTTATATATAATCTTGAAAATTTAATAAAATTTGAGAGACTTTTAAAATTGGCCAATTAGCCAATAGCGACAACTTGATAGTAACTATCATATAAGTTTGATGATAAAATGTTATACACATTATTATACTGAAATGAGGGAAAAGCGTGGATCGTGCTCATATTTTTTACTTTTTTGAGAACTTACGTACTGTAATTAGGAATTACATTTTCAGTAAGCTCAATTTTGAAAATTGAAAGCAACAATCTCGATTTTGGAGTTTAACTTCGAAAGAGAAATTACCTTTTAGTTAGGACACAATCTCTCAAAAAAGATTGGTTTCGTACAATACCCAACCGAGTGTTTTACAGTGTAATATACCATATACAATAGTTGGCTGAAATCATAGGTTCAAAAGAGAGTAATTTCTTCCTCGCAATTGCTATAAAAATAATTTCCTTAAAAAAGAGTTCAAATTAAAACAAGTTGAAATCATTTACGTGAGTATAGTACATTAAAAAATTTAGAAAGAGATCTCCTTGTAAACTGTACTAAGCTGTGCATATTCAAAAATAGTCAAAAAGTCTAGTACTCTAATACTTGGTGAAATTCTCTAGTAAATACATACGATTTTAAAATATCCTACTTTGTTAATCCAGCTCAGTTTTCGCACAAAATAGTTGCTTTATTGCAGCGTTTAATTTCTGGCTTGCTCAGGGATTTAAAAGAATGCTTCAATGAAAATTGCTTAATAGAAATATCATGCCATTAAAATCTCCATACTCCAAATCTCTGTTATCACGGAAATTTATAACGTTATATCTTCTGTAAGCCAATTTTCTTGTTTTAGATTTTCGCCTTTATTTTGCTTTGTATGATGATACTTTTTTCTATATTTTACTGTGCTTTTTTGGGACTCACTCATATACTATTTTTTTTTTCAATCCCCACCGTACACCGTTATGTAGCTATTTTATAAAATTTATAACAGCGGTTTCAGAGTTTCATCAGACATTTTCGCTTCCTCTTTCGTAAATATTTTCTTACTACAAAATTAAAAAAAATTATTTTCCAAAATATTATGATTTTTTGGAGTTATCGTAACAGATCAGGAAAGGTGGCTAAATAAACTCACTCAATCGCGAGAATAAATGCTTTAATTCTGTTCTACTCATCGTAAAAACTAAAAAAAAATTCTACTTAGTTTCTAAAAATGCTGGTGAAGGTTCCGAAGCTTCTTTAACGGCTATTACGATTGGGTAAACCCCGGCAGCTGGATATAGATAGTGAAAGGAAAATTTGTCAATTAATAAATATTATTTTTTTAACAGAAATGTTTACCATTTGATACTTTTTTGATGCTCTTATCACCTATACTATTTCCACTTGGGTCAATACATGCCACAGAAACTCCATTCCGCCGCGTTGCTGCGGGTATAAGCTATGTACGGCGTAAGTGTGCGCATACGCTGAAGCATAGTAAGCCCAGTGGCTACGCGCGCAGCTACTAGTTTTATCCATGCCATAGCAAATGGAACAATATACAATATATAATATATATATATATGTATGTGTAGCAAGTAATATAAATCAGCACAAGAGGATGCGCGTTTGAAGAAAGCTTGAAATGAATTGGAATTTTCACTAAAGCCATTCGCTGCTCGGCGCTCAGCAGGCAAAAACGCTTAAGATTAATGTGAATATAATCGGTGTAGTTTTTGTTGGCCAACTAAAGTGCGAGTCAAGTCAGTATTGAAGTGCTAAAGCAGATTATTTTTTGTGGTTATATATTTTATATACATATATTATTCCATGCTGCGCCTTTTGTTGGCGCCCCACAATGAAAGCGCGCACAACAATCTTGACTTTTTCAATGTGCCGCGTTTTTCTGCCTATTTTCTCTGCACAGAATTTCTAGAATACAATTTTCATGCTTATTAGATGACCGAACATGCCGCAACGAATCGTGAGAAAACTATATTTTCCTTGTAGCAACTGGCTTTTCAAGCACCAACACAGGTATATACACACACACACACATATAAATACACGTGAATACTTGTTTACTTATATAGATGTACTTGTATGCGTTTGTAGTTAGGTGCTCTGGAGCACTTGAAGATTTGGGTTGGGCATAGAAAAAACTCCACTTGAGCTGACTTCACTTTATATTTGCTGTCCGTAATAAAAGGGGTTTTAAGTGGCCTGTTTGAGTGTGTGTGTGTGTGCATTTGAGTGCTGGTGTAAGTTGGCTTTGCTATGTCAGCGGCATGTGGGTGTTCGTGCTGCGCAGGCGCAACTAAAATTGTAGGCGCGTATATTACGAAAAAAAAACAAGCAAATATGTTAACTTCGACTGCACTGCAGCTATAATACCCTACACAGCTGCATTTATTATAGAATAAAAGGTTATAAAAAGACCTTTAACTTGATTTTGAACATTCAGTTTGTATGGCAGCTATATGATATAGTGGTCCGATCTGAAAAAATTTCTTCAAATATTGTAGCCTTGGCTCAGAAAATAATTCATGACAAATTTTGTGCAAATATCTTGTCATATAAAAAAGGTTTCCATAGAAGAATTCCATTTTTATCGTTAAGTTTGTATGACAGCTATATGCTATAGTAATACGATCTAAAAAATTTCATCGGATATTATAACGTTGCTTTTGATAAAAAAAAATACATGCCGAATTTCCTGAAGATATCTTGTCAAATAAAAAAGTTTTCCATACAATAACTTGATTTTGAGCGTTCAGTTTGTATGGCAACTATATGCTATAGTGGACCGATATCGGCAGTTCCGACAAAAGAGCAGCTTTTCAGGAAAAGGACGAACTTTCAAATCTATATCTCTACGTTGAAGCACTAGTTCGCCCGAAAAAACCGGCATGGCTAACTCGACTTAGGTCGTCACACTGATTATTTATGTATAAGGTATATCTACATATGTACTTTATAAGGCATCCGACGTTTCCTTCTGGTTGTTGCAAACTTCTGGACTAAGAGGGTATATGTTTAGGTTATAAAAATAATGGGCAGCGCGTTGGCGTTGCACAATAAAGGTGAACCGCCGCCACTCAACATGTGATCAATGATCATTACAATGGTGCGAGCAGACATAAAATAGGCTATGAAAAATCGAAGAATCACATTAAAGTAGAGAATCGAAGAAAACGTGGGTGCGTTCACATTTCAAAAACGAGCAGCATATCTGTACATATTTATGTATGTAACACTTATGTAAGTATGTATGTGTATGTGAAAGCAAGTATCATTATATAGACTTTTATATGTAAAATGAGACTAGAGAAACTCTCGTCGCTAAACACACATGCACTTCTTGACTTCATTACTTTACTGCCTCTTCTTCAGCATACATTCTACCAGCACACTTTACATCCACATAGCACACACACACACTAATACTTATTGTGGCATGCCAGAATACTTTGTGGCGCATCAAAGTTCGATTTTTATAGCTTCAAGTTGAATGCACTACGCGCACCCGAGTTGCTGTTCTCATCTTTAGCTGTCTCGCGCATAGCCAAAGCATTATCTATTTTATAGCCGTGGCCACGTTTGGCTTTGTTAGCTTTGTGCGCTTTGACGCTAAGTTGTGGCTGAGCCACAAAAGATGCACAGCGTTGGTGCCACATGAGCTGGATGCTGCTGCAGGCTGCCGAGGCTGCAATGTTGCAGTGTTACAGTGTTTGGTGCTGCCGGCCAATAACGCTGCGCAGAAAACCAGTCGAGCGGCTTTTTTTTTACTAAAAGCAAATACAAACACGCACACTCACAGCGAGCGGCACGTTTGCATAGGCGCACCCATACAGGCAAATATTTAACATTCTAGTGTTGTAGTTTTTGTTGTTGTTTTTTTGTTATGTGCGCATTTAACAGCTTCGCCTTTATATTTCATGCCTATAAAATATGGTCGAAAGCCGCATATGCGCAGAAGGCACATACACACATACAAGTCCACGAATACTATATATAATAGATATATGTATATATGTTTATGTATTGCTGCTTAAATGCTTGTGCCGCGAAAAAGTGCAGAAAAAAGTGTTTGCCTCTTTTGGCCTAACTGCCGTTGCTATTGCTGTCATCCAAGCACCACTTACAGCTACCACACATGCATACCTACACACATGCACGTTTGTGTGTTTGTATTATATATATATATATATATGCACCGCCTTTCTTTTTGTCGCTTTTTTTCGCGTGCGGTCACAACTTATCGGCAGAATTTTAAGTAAACTGCAAGTGACTTGCATGTCTACTTTTTGCTACGCACCCGTTCGCTCTTAGCCACTCTTGCCACTTTAATGCAGTTTCTACCAGTTATCTTTATTATTCGCTTCCTATGCTTTTCTCTTTTTTTTCTATCTTTGCCAATTTGTAATTTCGCCTCGCCGCATATTATTACCGCAGAATTCACTTTTATGGCGCTTGAAGCTTGTCTAACTAATACTAAATGCAAACGAATATTATTATTGTGTAAATGTTAATGCGACTTTGCTGCAGTTTTTAATTACTTTTACATAAAACACTTCGTATACTTGTATACTTACTACAACGTCAAGTATCGAACAAAAAATTAAAAATTTCTACCACAATTATTTTACTCCTTGTCAAGTTTTTGTTTCTTTGTTCTTAAAACCAAATTCTTCCCTAAATAGATGTTTTTGGTGGTTAATAAGAAGCATATATTAAGTTTGCCAGAAAGAAGCGTCGGAGTCCCTATTAAATATATACATAAATGATCAGCATGATGAGCTAAGTTGATTTAGCCATGTCCGTCTGTCTGTCCGTCCGGCTGTATATACACGAACTAGTCTCTCAGTTTTTAAGCTATTGATCTGAAATTTTGCACCTGTCCTTTCCTCACTAAAAAGCTGCTCATTTGTCGGAACGGCCAATATCGGACCACTATAGCATATAGCTGCCATACAAATTGAACAATCGGAATCAAGTTCTTGTAAGGAGCCTTTGTATTTGTGAAGGGTATTATAGCTTCGGTGCAATTGCAGTTAACGTTCTTTCTTGCTTAATCTGAATAAGAATTTTGACAGACAGCAAAACCGACCAAATTTTGGCTATAATTCAACTTTCATCCACTGCAGCAGTGGAGAATATTTTTCACTAGCGCGTGTAATAAGAAAAAACATACAATTTTTTCTCAAAAAAATTTGACTGTGTAACCTTAAAAGTTTGCCTTTTTTACGCTGTCGCACCTCGGTGTTCCCTTTAAACCACATGGCAAATATTTTAACCATTTATACACAGCGTTGAATAGAATGCATTGAATAGGCAATTGAAATAGCATTTAGAAAAATTTTTTTGTAATCCCAAAAATCTTTATTTAAAATAATTTCTTTAATTAGAATTCCGAAATACCGGATTTAAAAGTTTTTTTTTTATTAATTTTTCATTTTGATTTCGGAATTTACAATCAATTACTAATGTTTTAATCCGATTTTGCAATTTTAAACTTTTAATCCAAAATTTTTATATTAGAAAATTCTCAATCCTACTAGTAAGTAGTTAACTTTAAACTCCTCACCTTCCTAAGCTAACACCTCGAATATATTCGAGGGAAATAATTGCCACTGGCAGTCGTCATCATATGGTTCCTAGAGTAGGTTTTTAGGTTAATTGCCTTAGTAGTTCTACATCGAGTCTTTTCAATAACGGACTAAGAGTATCCTAATTCATTGGCATTAGAAGTGTTCTGCATGATAACATCAAAAGTGTGTTTTAAATGCATTAATTCGTAAAAAACCATCAAAAGTCAAAACTCAGACAAGAGAATAGTACTCTGCAGTTGAATTAAAGATGAGCCCTTCAATAAACCCTATTGAAATTCTCCTAGATTACCAATCGAATTCCTATATTAAACAGCTTGGAAGTCAAATATTCAAATATGCACCGAAAAGATATCCTATTATGTAGATGACGGTGGAAACCGGAGAATTTTATTTAGTTATAACAAGTCGTCAGATTCTCTTACTATAAACTAAAATTAAACTTCGGTATTTAGTTTCTCGTGTCTGTTAATCATCATATCGATTTCATGCACATTGGCTTGATCCTGATGATTTTATGTTGCCTCTTGTTTTCGGTAATGAAAGAACATGCGATTCTCTAGACCAGGCGATTCATTTGTATCACCTAGTGGATGCATCCCATTAGCCAACTAACGGAAAACTTGCTATTATCCGTATGTACAATTTGCTGAAATTTTTGTTGACTCGCTCCATTCGACAGTGAACCGCTGCTCGTGATCCTAGAAAGGCTGTTGATTCAGGTTGCTCGAAGCGTTCTTATCCATTCCAGAAGACTTATTGTAAAATCACTTATCACACTTATCAAGTAAAATTTTAATTATTTTTACCTCACTCGAAGTATCTATTATAGTATAGTGACATAGAGCAAATGTCATATATGAGCTATAGTCCGTCTATATAAAACGCGGTTCATTATCTTTTTGATGTGAAATGGGGGAATTACTAATCCAAACATAGCGATAGATAGCAGAGGGCATAAAGCTTCGAATAGGGTGAAAATCAGGTTGTTCCTTGGTTATTTATCATCGCTTTCGAAAATGAAATTGTTTTTTTTTCTTTACTGGGATGCAGCTTCAGATCATTTAGAGCACTCAGCTTCATAAAGGGTATTATATTAATTAATAGAGCTGCTACAATTGATTTCACAGCAAATTGTAAATCGACTTCCAAGCTTTCTCAACATCTAAGGTTTGTAGCTTCTTTTAAATTAGTCGTGGCTTAGTACCCAATGTACCAAATACTATTCTATAATATATATTTCGGAGGTGATGCTTTTTATTAAGTTAAAATAATTAATTATTTACACAGTTTCCGTTTTATCGTTACTCAAAAAGACACTCTTTATTGATCTGAATTCTTTAATTAATCATAAACATACATCGTAACATACATATAAACATAAATATAGACAATTTTTTAGGGAGTCTCGAGTTTTGCTTCCCCGCTTTTTGAAAATCAAAACACTTACAATTCATAATTTTATCTCGAGGCGCTTCAAACTATGTTCATAATTTTTCACAGATTTTTTTGTAATAAAAATGTTTACCTTAAAGATACTGGTTAAGCCAAACATATTAAATATGGTTTCACAAAAATGTTTAATACATTCTAAAAAAACTTGTGCTACACAAAATATCAAAACTGAAAAACTGTACATTTTGTTTAAAGCAAGGCTAACATCTCAATGCAATCATCAGACTAAATTCCCCTTTATTAAAGTTCATATTTCAAAATTTAAGTTGCCATAACTACGCCTCCTTTGCAGTTTACTGTCGTTTTGTTGGCGCCTCTGTAGTCCGCGTAGTTGTCGCCGTCACCAACACACACACACGCACTGCCATATACGCAGCCAGCAACCAAGTAAAGCATGAGAGGAAGTTCGTTGCTTAAGTCTTTTGTACGCGCAACCGAAACCAACAAATACCGCATAGCTTTTACCGCCTATTTAGTCCTTTCGCAGAAAAATAAAGACGAAGCAAATAAGAATAAAGTAATAACGAAATGGTTCAACACTCAGCGATGCAGTAAAAGTAAAAAATATCACAATTTTTAATTAAATGTTAACGCCAGTCTCGTCATAATGGCGCATGAGTAGCTCGGATGCAGTGTGGCAGGAGTGCAGTGTGAGAAAACACAACAACAAACCGACAGTCATCAGCACTAAACTAAGTTGACTAATGAAGCATACTGCTGTCGCAGCAGCAACAGCTTAAGTAATAGCAACGAAGGAGTAACGGCGGCAGCAGTTGGGGCAGTTGCTGTGTATCAGTTGCAGCGACGGTGGCAGTGGAGGTTGGCTAGTGAAGTGCGCCAACTAAAACTCGTTGAGTATTGTGAATTATTGAGTTTTAAAGGCGTTTAATTAATTCCAATTCTAACAGCAGCCCAAGCAGTCAGCAGTATGAGAGGTGTAGCAACAGCCACAGACAACACACACAACACGCACAGCTAAGTAAGCAACTAGCGAGTCAGTCACACAGTTAGCAGTGAGTAAGTGAGCAGTAAGATTGGTAGCAGTTGAAACAAGTTAACACCAAAGTATATGCTACAACAACAAAAACAACAACAACAGCAGTTAGCAAGTGATCTGTACAATCACACACACACACACACATACACACATAAAAGCATCGAAATCCGTATTGTTGGTAGCCATCAGGCGGCCGTTGGTATTGGAGCTGGAGTTCGAGTAGCCGGAACAGCAGCAGTTAAACAGCAAAACTAGCAACAGCAACATTGCCACTGCCACTGCCACTGTGACTCTGCTGCTCTGTGCTGTGCTTATTGCGCTTATTATGCTTCTTGTATTCACCACACACCTTTTTTATTTATCAACGTTTTAATTTTTATATATTCATTCTACATCTTTTTCGGTGTCTACAATACATTTTCAATTTCGCTTCGGTTTCGATTTTCGGTTTCGTGCTGCTTTAACTAGAGAGCCATCAAGTAATTTATTTATTTTTTAATGATTTTCGATTTTCAGTGTGTTTCCAATATAAATATATAAAATAAATAATATTGCATGTATTTCAGCGTCTATACACATACATATTCGCACACCTTTATATGTGCCGTATAAATTCTTGTATATTTCTTAGTTTAGTGGCTGCTTAAGGTCCACATGTTGAACCGTGCTTATTGCTTCGTCAACACGTTTGCATTTTGAAAGGAATTCCGGTACATATGTATATACAAAATTCTGTGTATTTAAATGCTTATACTTAAAAAATTAATAAAAAATTATTTATTTCGTTCTTAAATCTTACGAAAAAATTATTCAAAAAAAAATATATTTTCGGCTGCACCGAAGCTATAATACCTTTCACAGGTGCATGTTTTATAGTATAAAAGTGTACATAAAGATCTCTATCCTGTTTTTGATTGATCAGTTTGTATGGCAGGTATATGCTATAGTGGTCCGATCTGAATTTGATTTCTTCGGAGAATGTACCGCTCTCTTAAACAGTAACCCATGCCAAGTTTCGATAAGACATCACGTCAAATGAAAATGTTCGCCATGCAAGCACTTGATTTTCATCGTTCTATATGCTATAGTGGTTCGATACCGGCGATTCTGACAAATGAGCAGCTCCTTGGAGGAAAAAGGACATGTGCAAAATTTCAGAACGATATCGGAAAAACTGTGTAAATACAGACAGATGAACGGACAGACTGCCATGACATTTGAAACTCGCGTGCTATGCGAAAAATTTATATTTCCATTTTTACCGTCAAATCATCCTTTCTACATTTCTATCTGAATATTTATGAGAATGAGTACAATTTTCCGATTTGTAATTCCAGCAATGAAAAGACGCTTCCTTAGATGCAGAAAAAGTTACTGTCGAGTATGTTAATAATTTCGTAAAATCCCATATCTTTTTAGAAGTGAAGATAAAACCAACTCAGCCATTAATAGGTAGTGAGCCATTAATAGTATGTTCCCTTGATTAATATCAATCGCCTGAGGGATTTAAAGGAATTTAAAGATTTTATTGGAATGAACTTTTCATGATCAAATCATATCAATATCATGTGATTTTGCTCTTTTAGATCACTGTTTGTGAGATTTATCAAGTTTGACTAGTGGGAAACCAAAACTCAGCGCGTTATTGTTGAGATGAGACTGGCTTTGCAGCAAAAAATATTCAATTTAAAATTGGACCGTCATCTTTATAAAAATCCATTATAATGGCTAGCGGCCTGAAATTCGACTCAGGCTATAAGTGTCATAAAATGTTGGGAACTTATAAATCAATAAATATAAATCAGTAATTTTAATAACTCTTCTGGTTTTTACTTGAAAATAAAAGTTTTATACTGCTAAAAGCCTATTTTCTTAAACAATATACTTGAAAATTAAAAATATATTATCAGAAATTAACAAAGCGGAAAAATTTGTATCACAGAAGGGTTAAATATATAATATAAAATTATTTGAATACTCTGAACAGCCTTCTTATACTTCTTACTTGTTTGATAATTTAAAACCTCATTCATCCACAGTGCAAAAAGCAAATAAGTTAATAAAGTAAAAATTATTATTTTTTATTTATTTGTTCATTCAGTCTGCGTCATTCTGTTAAATTTATTTGCATTTCCGTTTATTTACCATTTAGCAAAGCTTTTTTATAGCTCGAATTATTAACATTTTTCAATCATCGTATCTTTAATTAGCAAAGTTTCACACTTTTTAATGCGCTGCTTAATTGAATTATAACACAATTTTAATGATTGAAATAACAAAACTGTTGGAAACGTTTGTTCCTGATGACATTTCATAGCATTCATTTCGCAACTGAGTGGAATACTACCGAAATTTTAATTTTATTTGCAATCGATTGGAAAGTTTTCGCCAATATTTATAAACCGGTTTATAATTTCATATATAACAAGAAATAACATTAACTTTGGCTGCGTCGAAGCTATAATATTCCTAACAAGTGCATTTTTCTTATAACATAAAAGAGTATAAAAATATTTTTATCTTGATTTTGATCTGTTGGTTGTATGCAAAATTTTTAGGTTAATATCTCAAAAAGTGAGGGACTAAATATCGTTAATACTGATAGACAGACAAACAAACAGACGCACATGGCTAAATTGACTCATCTCGTCATGTTGATAATTTATGAGTCTTGATGGGTCTCCCCTTCCGTTCCCTTTTGGATCTTACAAACATCGCGGCAAACTTAATATACCCTGTTAAGGATATAAAAATATATGTAGATGAATAAAAATATAATAAATTTATTTTCTTAAGAAAAAACTGAACATAATTATGGTATATCACTTTTTGTTCACCGTATTAGAAGTATTCTAAAAAATCAACTAGATCATAGGTTAAGGCAGCATGAAAAGTCTTTCAGAGATTAAACTGTTAATTCATTCATGGTTCATAATAAACGATGTATATAAGTTAAAACCTATTTTAAAAATGTCTATATCAGAGGCTTATTCTTTATTAATTTACTTGTGGAATTATATCGTACCACAAAAGAAATGAAACTCGAAAAATGTTCAACAAACGAAGCCAAAATAACTAGTTTATGTTAGTTATAAAACTATTCAAATATATATGAGCAAACCTATCATAAGCAAATAAACTGTATATATGAAAAAATTCGGCATGAAAAGAATAAAGCAAAAGTTACCTCAGGGCTTTGTACCCGCTATGCTATGCTCAAGGAGTTGGGTTCATACTTGCTTATATTTTTGATTTTTTAGAAATCTTTTCAAAATACCATACTTCCTCCACCGTTGTTTTTGGTTTCCTGAAATTTCTAAATATTAGAACATATGGAAAAAAAGGTTAATATTCTTTGCTTCTTTTTCGGTAATTCATTCACTTTATCATTTATTTGGGAAAGCCACAGCTTTGTTGATTAAAATCTTTTAAATATTTATAATTCAGTCATACAGATACAAAGTTTCAGTCTCTTCTTACTCTAAAGTGTTAAAACAACGAGAACTAAGAATTTATTGCATAATTGCTTAACACTTCAGCTCAAATTGTTTTAATAAGCTCAAAGTATTACTAAACATTTGTTTGCAAATTGAATTTGCCACTTTTAGTAGTGCTGTCATTTATCACCTTGACTAATTAAATTATATTATATATGTATATTAATTTGTGCTTCCAAATACTCTACTATTATATTCTTATACCTTTGTTAGATGTTAGGCAGAGTTTCTTCTAATATTTGTAGCTGGAATTTTACATGAACTGACAAGCTAATGGCCCCACAAGTTTTACGAAAATAGTAGGGTGGAAGACTCCTTGTCGTATACCACTATGTCCAGATGACTACTATACTAAAACGAAAGGACTTTAAAGTATTAAATTAATCACACCTATTTACTTTCATTTTTAAAAAGCTATTGAAACATATAAATATAGTTATTTTTCGCCAAAAATCGATGAATTTGGATTTTGTTATTTTTTAAAGCAAATAAGAACATGTTTGTTTTGAGAGCTATGTCTCCAAAATTGTCATATCAGCTTTCTGATCCGAATAAAATATCCATAATGAAGACTCTTCTCCGCTACCGCTAATATAAATTAAAATTATCATCTAACTACTCACCCGGAAACGTGAAAATAATAATTAAATTACTAGAAAAAAATCATCACGCAATTGCGTTGTTAGCGCAGGGTTGCACGACAAGTGCTGCACGTCTGTTTGAGCATCTGATATAGTTTGTTCGATTCGCTGGAGAGTAACGCTTGGCGAATCAAAAACAGCTAATATATGAGTTCTGATTTTGAGTGCAATGCATTTCTCAAGCATGTGATTGATATCGATACTGCAGTGAAGATTAGACAAGAAATTTCATGCATTTAGCTGTCATTAAGTAATTATGCGCAGTGTTATAAAATATACGAACGAAAAACTTAATGACGGCAAAAAATTCTTAGTGACTTTTACCAAAGTTTTTTTTTTAGAAAAAAAACCTTGAGTCCTTTTAAGATTCAAAATGAATAACATACTTACCATACTCTAGCATCATTTGAAATTTAGCATGACATTAACAAATCTGCCATAATCTCTCACAATATAAATTTTTGCTCCGAATCAAAGATTTAGCCTTCAAAATTTAATATCGTAAACAATTTACATAAAATTAATTTTATTTGATTAATTGACCGATAACGCGGAA